TACCTGGTGCTCCCGGCCGCTCCGGAGCCCCCACGGGCAGGAGGAGGAGCCCTCCCCGGGCTCCGCGCCCCCTCCCCGGCAGAGGTGTGGCGTTTGAAGCGGTGCTGCGGCCGCAGCCAGGGGACGGCGAGGGCCCGTCGGAAGGAGCAGGAGCATTATTTCCCTCACGCAGACCGCACCTTCCTCCAACGGCGACGGTCTTTTGCTTTGAGTGGTCAGTAACAGAGGTAGGGTGGCCCAAAAGAAAATCTCGACTGCCTCAAGTTCTTTGAATCCTTGGCAGATCCTCACGGACTATGTGCACATGGGAGGCACGGTATGAAATGGCTCCGTACCAAATCCACAGATTTCCTAAAGCTTTTCTTATGTGTTATTCGCTAATATAATTTAGTACATGGACACAGTCCAGAACAACTTCCCCAGGAGAACTCTGCTCTCCCCTGCCATGCCTCTCTTGAAAAATGACTATTCAGTACCCAGTAGCCAGCACAGAGCACAAATGTGACATTGCCCATAATACTTTATGCAGCAGAAGTGTGTCTCCTTATCAAAATCGGAAATTCGTCCTTATGAACAAATTAGCTTCCTTCCACACATGCTGTGGCATCTATAAAAACTTCTTCATTGAAGTAGTTAAGTCAAAAGCTCACAAGTTTTCAGAGGATTAATAATTGTATGAACTAAAGCCTAAAAACTTTAGCATACCTACATGCTTTCTATAACATGCCCTTCAGACAAATTAGTTTTTCCTACTATCTATGTATTGGGTTTGCACAGCAAGATTTTGGTTGTGGAGGAGGTGCTACAAGGGGTGGCTTCTAGAAGCTGAGAAGCTGATAGAAGCTTCCCCCGTGTCCAATAGAGCCAATGCCAGACAGCTCCAAAACAGTCCCACCAAGGCCATCGGTGACAGTGGTAGCGCCTCTGGGATAATGTATTTAAGAAGGGTTAAAAACTGCTGGGCAACAGCAGCTGGAGAGAGGAGTGAGAACATGTGAGAGCAACAACTGTGCAGACACCAAGGTCAGTGAAGAAGGAGGGGCAGGAGTTGCTCCAGGCACGGGAGCAGGTTCCCCTGCAGCCCGTGGGGCAGCCCATGGTGAGGCAGCTGTGCCCCTGCAGCCCAGGGAGGGTAACGGGGGAGCAGATCTCCACCTGCAGCCCGGGGAGGGCCCCACGCTGGAGCAGGTGGATACTCCCAAAGGAGTCTGTGACCCCGTGGGAAGCCCACACTGGAGCAGGCTCCTGGCAGGAGCTGAGGCCCTGTGGAGCGAGGAGCCCATGCTGGAGCAGGTTTGCTGGGCAGGAATTGTGACCTTGTAGGGGACTCACACTGGCACAGTTCATAAAGAGCTGCAGCCTGTGGGAAGGACTCATGCTGGAGAAGTTTATGGAAAATTGTCTCCAGTGGGAGAGGGATCCCATGCTGGGGAAGGGGAAGAGTGTGAGGAGTCCTCGCCCTGAAAAGGAGCAGCAAAGACAATGTGTGATGAACTGACCACAACCCCCATTCCCCAACCCTCTGCACTGCTGGAGGGCAGGAGGTAGAGAAATCCTGAGTGAAGTTAAGCCTGGGAAGAAGGGAGGGGTGGGGGGAAGGTGTTTTAAGATTTAGTTTTTATTTTCCCATTATCCTACTCTGATTTGATTTCTAATAAATTGAACTGATTTCCCCAAGTCAAGTCTGTTTTGCCCTTGACAGTAATTGGTAAGTTATCTCTCCCAGTCCTTATCTCAACCCATGAACCTTTAGTTATATTTTCTCTCCAGCTGAAGAGGGGGAGTGATAGAGCACCTTTGGTGGGCACCTGGTGTCCAGACAGGGTCAATCCTCCACAATGTAGTATTTCAGTATGTATTCAAGAAGAAAAACTTTACACCTTCTCAAAGTGTTATGCCATTTCCTTGAACTATGACAAGAGGGTGATTTGAACTGTTAGCACTAGTGCTTTTAACTGAACATTTCTGCAAAGCTGTTACCAACACCAAATACATTTAATAACTAGGCTTGTTTAGTTATTTGCAAGTGTTCTAGCTAAAAATGTTCGGTTTTTCCAACCTCTTTTGTGATACAGAAAATACGCCTACTCAGGATTTTTTAAGTGAAATAATTTTATTAACTACAACTATTCACAACAATTATTTGGATTATAAATACTGGCAAGCCTAACTTCAGTTATTGTAGGTAAATACAAGTTTTCAGTCACTGTGTTTCAATATCATTTTCAGTTCTGACACCCAGTCCGGGTCATCTTCCTCAAAGTCCCTAAAAATAAATGTAAAAATGTTATTTAGCAAAGCAAAATACAACTTCATTTATCAAATCTTTATTTGCTTTTTTCCCCTGAAATTACCTTACAACTAGAAGAAATTATGTTAAAAATATCAACACGAGACATATTTCCTGCACCACTGTGATTAAGGAAGCAATAGATGCTCTCTTTTCAATTTATTCAAGTACTATCGAAAGCAAAAATAAATACATATACTAAGAGAATGCAGATGTGTTGATATTAACAGCTTGCAGCTGAACTGCAGTACTACATGCCTGAGCAGTTCATCTCCAAGTGCCACAAAAGAACCCGACATAACCCGAGATCCTGAGAATCCAAGAACCACCACCAAAACATACAGACATCTGTAAAATACAGTGTTTCTGTTCAAAATGTGTTGATGTACACTCTGCTCTTTCAAAACTAGAAGTGGGTCACTGACAGAACACAGAAGTTTAAAAGTTTCTACAAGTATGTCTCAATAAATAGGTACACCAAAGTGATTTTATTCCACTGTGTGTGAAAGATGAGAAAAAATAACACAGAAATACAGTAAACATAACACTAGACAAGCAGATTTGCCACTGGTTATCTGATTTCAAGCTCAGTGTACAAAGATGTTTCATGCAAGGTTTCGCACTTTACTGTGGATCTAATTTCACCTCCTGCTTTAATTTTTGCAGTCATCAGCAAATGATTAGCATATCTGCTCATAACAAGCAACCTGTTTAATCTCAACACCATCAGTAACTATAAATATAGCAATGAAAACCTGCAAAATATCAAATGCTAGTGATGTTAACATCATTATGTAAGAGAGGGATGGATTTCAATGCTGAGAAAACCGTTTTTTTTCAGGAGAATGTCTTTTTGGAAGAAACACTTTGAGGAACCAAAGAAAACAAGAATACGAGGATGTCATTTGGACATACGTGTCATCTTCATCAGATCGAGGCTCAAGTCTCTCAGAATCTGTAACAGCTTCATGTTCACCATCTACTTCATCAGATGCTTCCATTTCATCAGAAAGTGGACCTCTAAATATATTTTTGGAAGCTTTGAAAGTATAAAAATGAAAGTGTCATCAAAATCCTTTAATTTTAAAAATAAAGTTACTAAAAATATAAATACAATATAGCCTTTCTAATTTGTCTCCAGATCTCAGCAGATTCCACTACAAGCTGTTACCTATTTTAAGTGGGGAGATAAATTAATAACACAACTGAAGTGCAGAACAAGTATTTGTGACTGTGGCTGTGCAGCTCTATAGCCTCCAGTTACCTTTTGCTGTGCCACCTTACCATCCTGTCTTCAAAACAGGGCACCACCGACATAGTGAAGGTGGATTGACCTGATGGGGCTACAGCCTATTTACTGCAACTCCCTCACGCTTACAGCAGGCTGCTTAGCAGGATGGAGACTGCATGATTCTGCAGTTGCTGCCTTTTTGTTACAACCTCATTCAGCTACTGAGCTGCAAGTGAAAGTTCATCATGAAGAGATGTAGTGGAGATGTAAAATCGTTCATGAATTCTCAGCTCACATTTCTGTAATCCCACATTTCATCTGGCAAACTTTAAAAAAACAAAACAGCCTGTTGTGACATGAACTCAAGTGCACAAGCTCTATACATAGGGGCTATGTATGTAAAAAAGTCTTTATTAATAAACCTGTTTGCAAAAATATTTACCCAGAAAGTGGGGATTTACCTGGTTTATAAATTGTGTATGTTTTAAATGCTAAGCTGACATCTGCATTACTGAGAATGTTCATCAGGGTCTGAGGAGTTTCCTTGTTCCACTGCTTACGTGGCTTATTTTCACTGTAGTTTATAACACAGCCACCTAGGTATAAAATCATTAACAATACTAAGACAAAATTCCATTAGCAGTGTGGATTACAAAGATCACATTCAAGAAAGAAACAGAGGAAGAAAAGAATCCAGATATTTCCATCTGTAGCACTGCTAACATCTCAAGACGCTGAAGTTGATGCTATCAGCATTAAGAGGAAAGAAAATTACAGAAGGCCACAGTGGAGCCTTCTGCTATCAGGGAGCCGGCAGGAATGGGCTGAGGGGCATGGGGTGTCCGAGCCTCTGTAAACTTATTTGGTGGCTCTATAAATCTCACAAAACAGAGCCTGTGGCCATTTTTGTGCCTTTTAATAGCAGGGCACCTAAATACATCTGTTCTTCTGCTCTCTTCCTTTGCCCTGCGTATAATTATCATGTAATGCTCCTATCACAGCTTGGGAATTTTCAGACTACTCATATCTTGATTATTTATTTCAATAGCATCTATCACATTTACTTAGAATACATATCCATAATCACATGAAATAATTCTAACAGTCACATACAGTGTCGGGCATTCTAAAATTGAAACATTTTTCAGAAGAAACTCCATGTTAAGTGTTATAATTAAAAGCTGTTGATGTGGAAAAAAAATCTCTGCCTCCTATCTGAGGTACATCATTAATAGTTCTTGTCATTGGCATTATCTGTGTGTTAAATAACAACAGAATTAGAGGTACAGATGTTACATGCACCCAATAGTATGCTGTACTTGACAGGCAGCTGCATTCTGCATCAAACAAATTCCTCAGTGTTACCCCCACAAATGGCATATTAAGAGGAGGGATGGTAGGATAATTTCTTAGCAATGATTATAATTTTAGGGTTGCTAATGTTATCTGTAACTTTCATCACTCTTCAGTCCTGTCACACAAGAACACTAAGAAATTCTCTTCAGCACAGTGGACTTTTGAGTGTTAATAAAATATTTTAAAATTATTTTTACATAATATTAAATATGCCCTGTAAAGGTTTTTTTTTCTTTAAAAATCTGTAAAGAACCACTGGTATTTCTTGAATTAAACCACATTTAATTAAATCTTACCTTTAGCCTCTTCAGATGTAAAACTGGAAGAAAGTAAGGATGCATTTTCCAGGACATCCACTACAGTATTGGAAATCCTCTTTTCCCATTGCCTCCTATGGGGATGTGGCAAAGTAGTAATTCCTGTGAGGATGTCAGAAGTTTCTACTGTAATTGCAACAACAACAACAACAACAACAACAACAACAAAAGATGATACTCAGCATCTAACTTCATTCTCTGTCCATGCAAACTAGTTCTAAGCATAAAACACTTTACTAACAGTGATGTTTGATTCTGTGGGTGCAAGTTTGAACTTGGTAAGAGTACCCCATACATTTACTCTATACCAAATGTTTTCAGTCATTTTTTAACACTTTGGCCAAGATTTTTTTTTTTTTTTTAGATCTCAGATGAACCATATATATATATATAATCAATATAATTACAGAAGTAACAGGCAGTGGCATGGTTTTCTATAGGTACAGACTTGTATGCTCTACCTGTTTAAATGTCTGGATCATTGATATCTAGATATCTCTACAGAGAAGGAAATGCATCAGCCTTAAAACGATAAAACTTACCCTCTTCATCAGATTTCCTTTGTTCCTTTGTGCTTTCACTCAAATCCTTACTAATATTTTTCTTTTCTAAAGGGCTAGGTTTGCTTTCATCTTTACTTTGCTTAGAAACAATAAAGACTGCGTTAATCATTATCCTTCTTATTGAGAAAAACAAAGCAGTAATATTAACATGGCATTAAATATTTTAGTTTTGCTATTAAATGGCTAGCCTAAAGACCTGAAAACTAGACTACTGACACTATGAAGCCAATTGCAATTGCACTGTATCTATTACTGCACTGCATTTCACACTGCATGCCCTTTTATGACAATCTGTTTTTGAAGCTAAGCACATATGTAGTTACTTGATGCAATTTGTGGTTTTATTTTTTTACATTTAAGGACAATAGCAATATAAAGATAAATGAGTTATATTCCAGGGAAAACAAGATGCACCCAAATATTAAGTTGCTCAGATTGACAGGTCTATTAAGAGGGGAAAAAAAAAAAGCCCTACTGGCAACATGTTTTGAAAAATATACTGAGTATGGCTGAGCCAGGCTGCATACCATGTACCCACAGGTGACTTCTTGGCCACCTGTGACTTAATTCTCCTCACCTGAAATCTCACATGGGCCCTAAAACCTGGTGAGAATTCAGACTAGAATGTTTCCACAGCAGCCTGTTCGAAATGTGTCCCTAGAGCAAAGAAAATGCACCAGTTTTTGCAGTATCCCAAAACTCAGAAAAACAAGAGAGGGTTTTTTTCAGGGGGTTGGGGTTTCTTTTTGACAGGGCTATTAGAAAATACACTTTGAAATGAAACTAAATGTGGGAACTATCAAAAAGTTACAGTGGTGGGAAATGCCCAGGAAAACTGCAGTTTTAACACAGATGACCTAGTAGGTTGATCTATGTCTTAGCATACTAATAATTTTCCATATGAAATTTTCTGCAATACAGAACATTCTAAATTACTGAAATACAAATACTGTATTAATATTTGAATACTTACCCTGTTTTCTTTCATATTATTTGAGCCTCCACCAGCCATGATGTTACCTGATACATTAAGGAACAGGTTCAAGAGTTAATACTTTTAGCAAACATTTGTGCTAAATTGGTATTCCAGAGGTGTGACAGCAACACCACTGAACCAAGCAATGAAAATGATGTGAAAGCTTCTTCACACTTCTACCAATGTAGCTCATTCTCAGCAGGGAGTCCCTCTACTATTCAGTTCCAAATGTGTACAACTTTTGGTGTAGCTACATTTATACAGAAGAAGAAAATCCAACATTCTCTCTAAAGATTAAATAATGAAAATAACTTGCTTCACCATATTCTGGGAGAGAAAGCACTGTCATATTTAAAACATATGCAACAGCTAAAATTTTTGCTAATTTTAAAATTCAGAAGTTTAATTCTAGCACAAGTCTTAAGACTAACAATGTATATATTGTAGATCTGCACTGTACTTCTCATGCTGGAATATAATTTACACCCTTCAGGCATTTTTCCATTCAGGTTCAACAATATTAGATTTTGAAATAATTAAAAATAGATTTGAACATATAATACTAATGTTTTATTGCTGTATTTAAGATCTTACAATTCCTAGTCATTTTGTCATTCCTTATAAGAAGAAAAATGTTGCTGACTTACCCTCTGGTCTTGCTGCATTGCCTTCATGTTTTGTGGTTTCCTTCAATACCTGCTCAAACTCATTTGTCATCTGGAATGTGTATGAAGAGATGCGAGTACTGCACCATTTTAAACTTTCACAAGTTACGTATATGTTATTTGTTAAAAGCAGACTGACCACAGAAAAGCACTGTTATGGCTAACAGCTAACAATATCTAATTTTAGCAGCACCATGTCAATAGTCAACTTCTATTTTCAAAACAAACCCTTCTAAAAACTCAGTTTTCTGAGAAGTCTAAACTGTATTTATGGCTTTTAGAGTAGAACCTACACAACACTGCATTCATATTATTATACACTAACAAACTACAAAAGAAACTGATTTAGTGTCTAAAATGTAGTTACTATTGTTTAAATCTAGAGGCAAAGAATATACTGTACCTCAGTAGGCAAACAATTTTTGATAAGTTTGGTTAAGCACCCTCTTGCAAGAATAGTACTGGCTGATGGACGATTCTTGGGATTTCTCTTAAACATCTGTTTTATTAAGTAATGAAGTTCATAGGAATAGTGAGATGGTAGTGGATTGTAGGACCCTTTGCATATCTTAAGGATGAGATGTTTCCAGCTATTGGCTTGAAACTGCATTAAAAAGAAATGAACATTAGAGCATGGAATTTAAGTGTAAGGTAGAAAGAAGCTGACAGAATTTAAAAGCAACTTAAACATTTTTTTATATAAAAATGCATGGTATGTATCTGTGTAGGTTCACTATTACCATATTGATTTGGCTCCCAGCTTGACCATTTCAGGGCTATAACTCAGGTGTGGAATAATGACCCTAAGTGAACACACCAGTAACTTTCCTTTTATGTTTTGCCAAGCTACTACATAGGCATTTATGTATGTTAACAATGACAGAAATATAATTTGCTGAGAATGAAAACATCACAGTTTGTATAAAAAGTTTGACTAAAACCAGATCTTTAATGGACACTGCAAATAATAACCAGTACAACTGGAAATGAGGCAGGAGTTACTCCTATAAATTTAGGATTGTTCAAATTTTATTTTTGTAGGAATAGAGCATTGTGAAAATTTGGATCACCTTAGTGTCCTTCACTTCATATACTTGAGATCAGAATCAAACTGCAAGAGTGAAACTGTAAGCCAGGAAAGATGCAGACTTTGATAACAAAAAAAAAAAAAAAAAATTTAAAAATCTATCTACATGAAATGGCTGAAGTTGTTAACAGCTGCCTGTTAACCAGTCTTCAGTCAGGAATTACTGCTTCCAAGCAGAAGTCATCAGACAACTGCAGTATCAGCAGGGACAGTTATAACCATGGCTGGCAACAGCCTGAGCAAAAACAGCTGAGGATTCCTATCTCCATGCAGATTTTTCTTACAGTACACCCCACTGGCTTGGCTCCAGAGTGACAAGCATCTACAGCATGCAGCACCTTTTATATCACCTCTGATAGATTATGTAATAACATATGTGACCATCGCATAAAACCACATACATAACATTTCACTGCTGCTAAAAAGGAAGACTTCTCTCCTTGGTATCCCAGCTCTGAGCACTGCCTGAATAGCTGTGACACTGCCAAAGCCTTGCCACAGACCTACTTAGGCTAACACACACCTGTGAGCAGACTCCTTTATCACGCAGTCACATACAGTATAAACTTCTAAACTCTTATACTGCCTGTCAGTTGCAGCTGCAGAGAAGCTTTTGCTGATACACGGATTTCAATATATAGTCTTAGCTCAATGAAAGGGAACTGCTGCTTATAAAAAACTAAGACAAAATGACCTTAAATTAGCATAATCTCATTGTCTTGCAAAACAAACATATGCTGATAAGGGCTCTAGTGTTAGCCATGTGTCTGTATATAGAAGCCAGAGGAAGTTAACACGTAAGCAGCATAGCATCAACATTGTAAAAGTGTCCCAGAAATGACAGAAAGACAGAACTATCTATCAGGGTTCCCACTACCCCAACAGCAGGATACTCCTTGGACAGTGACTTCTTTGATTTGAAGAATAAGCAAATATGTAAAACACTGATGGGAGGTAGAAAACTGCTTATTGCTCACTATATTTTGCTATACTCGTACACAATATATTCTCATTAGCAACGATTTTGCATGTCCTTGCCTCCATCTTCTGTGATCATCTCGATCCTGTATAAACACAATGCTCATTGCAACATCCCTGCAGATATCTGGAACCAGCCTGTCACCTGCTGGACTACTTAGTAAGCCCCACATCACCTCACTGATACTGAGGAAAATTAACCAAGAAGGAAAAAAAGAACTGTTTCCTAAGAATTTAGAAAACTGAGTGTTTTACAGAAGGGCCCAGTATGTCCCAAGAGCTGCTGAAAAACAGAAAGCATAGAATGAAGGAGGGTGAGAAGGATGGAGTAACGCTTCCCTTATTCAGGAGCAGCAGCAAAAACGTCAGTCAAATATATAATTGACTGTGAATACATCAAACTACAGCTAATTGCTAATTAAATTTTAAGGAATTCCCAAACTTTTCTGATAGCAATGAAGCTATACTTACTGGATGTCTAAGAGTGCACAGCTCATATAGAATACATCCCAGAGACCATATATCACTGTCGGTATAGAGAAAGATGAGAAATTTTGAGCCAAAAAATACAATTTAATATCCTGCCTAGAAAAAGTAAAATTATATTATGTATACATAACTGAACAAACTAAAAGTGAATATAAGTAACCATAAAAGGCAATACAATTATGTGTTTAACCTCTGCGGTGGAAATGATCTTCTTTTTTCCCACTCTGATGTAAAAAGGGATGAATATCATACAGTTGGCTTTTTATTCTCAGAATGTCTCCTAAGCAATTTGCTGCAGTAATCTTTCTACTTCCCCATTTCAAAGTCTTGTATTCCATGTCCCTTAGCATCACACGGCAGACACACAATCCTAATTCTGGGAGTTGGAATTCTGGCCTTGCCAATGAGAATTCTCTCACTGAGAATGAAAACATCAACTTCTGCTACCTGCAGAAGAAGCAACAGATGCCTTTCTAGCAAGAGGAACAGAAAAAACTTAAGCACTAGAAGGTTTCTTCTCTCCTCTGAAAATGAGTCACTTGGTTCAGGTACAACTAGGGTCACAGAGCAGATCTAGCGGAGGAGATGTAAAATGACTTAGTATTTTGGAGTCTGGAAGGAAGCTGTAAACACCATACTACCCAGATGCTCTCTGAAGTTCTCGTGTAAGGACCAGAATAACTGGGCTTTGTAAATTTAAGTAATCGGTTCTGTAGCCATTATCTCGGCATTATCAGGGCTGGCAAGAGCTTAAAAAATAAGACCAGCCAAAAGACAGAAACACATAGATATGTATGGGCCTGCATACATACATACATACGTGTGTGTGTGTGTGTATGTCTATGTTTACTCTCCCAAATGCACAGAGAAGTCTGCTCACCAGTTTTCAAACCTTTAAGACTAAAAGTAATGTATACTCAATTACCTAAGTAAAGAGGAATTTAGGCCATTTTATCTTAAAAAACCCTGTAATTACCTCTTTCTAAATATTCCTCAGCTCAGTATCTTCTCCATACCAAATACAGATAAGCCACAAGGACAGATTGAGACAATAAAAAGACGTACATCAGTCAGGCATTATTTGTGACCACTGAAAACACGACTACCTTTTGTTGTTGTATGGCATGCTTTCCCATATTTCTGGAGGTACGTAATAAGGAGTTCCCACATATGTGCAAGCATATGACACTGGACTATTGAAACAACAGAGAAGAAATGCCAGATGAAAGGTAATTATTTAAGAGATCTGTACTATTTATCAGTGATAAAATAAAACTTTACACCACTGAGATCAGTGGAGATATCCACATACTGTGCAAGAAGGCGTGCAGATCCAAAATCTCCCAGTTTGACTTTTCCATTTTGAGTGAGGAAAACATTCTGCATTTCAAGAGAAGGACAGATTTACATACTTACATGTTCTTCTAGGACACATTTCTGTAGTTTGTATATACAGAAAACACAGTGATAATCACTTCTGCTATTTTATCTTTCTATTTCCTTTCACTTGCTTCTCCTAATACTTCTACCAAAAAAAAGTGAAGAAATATGTTGTTTTTAAAGAGAGGTGGAAAGGTTATATGGGCCTAAAGCCCCAGCATCAGTAGCAGAGGAAGAATGAGAGCTCAGAAATTACTTAATCTCTATGCTGTACTCAAACTACTTAAATCACACACAAGCAATCGGTGCTATCAGCAGTGTGGATATGAAGGGTATAGCTATACTTAGATGATGTTTAGATGATGTTTACACCCACAGCATTACATCATTTCATATACTCCAAAGTTTCATTTACCTAATATTCTTAAACCTAAATGAAAAGAACACCATGTAGCAGTAACAGGAAATTATGAAAGAGGGAGTTGAACTTTTGCATGCAGAAGAGAGTTTATTAATGGCAATGAAACTTGCTCTGCTCACCTTGGATTTGATATCCCTGTGCAACACACGTTTATCATGAATGTGCTTCACACCGAGGCACATCTGCACAAACCAGTGAAGAATCTGGAAAGAGTTACTAAGAGTTATAACAGCTCAATGCTGTATGCAAGAAATACTTTACTAATAGATAGAAAAACGTTAAGAAAGAGAAAAATAAACCACGGCAGAGTATCTGGGAGTTAAAACTTTAGTGTAATGGCCTCCAGTCAGCATGAAAGGCCAAATTCTTTAAGATAAAGCATATTTTAACATGGCAGAAGGAATGTTTGCTGCCTGTGTCTAGAAAACCCTAATGATATACAACAGTAACGAAGCTAGGGAGTCACTACATGGCACTTTATAAGCATGCCAATTACACTTTCATAGTAAACTAGCAAATTAAAATACCAAAAAACCACACCGAGATAACATACTATTTCTAGAGGAAATGTATTCTTTTTAAAAGTACAAAATAAAGTTTTTAGAGATGCTTGGCCAATCCAAATATTAGATTAGGTGAGGATTCTGGTCTTTTCATTTTAACTAAGATGCTTCTACCTGTGACAAGAAGTAGTTTTCAGTCACTACAATGTCACTTCGGACTGTCTCCTAAGTAATTTTATAGCCTTTGTGACTAAAGGAGTTAATGCCTGATGAATGATTTAAACAATTAATTGCTACATAACACGTAGGCATTTAGTGTCCTGGCTAGTTTCATTTATCTCACCAGAGTGCTTTATTTACTTTTCATTTGCAGTATCTCTTACTGTGCTTGAAATTCTGAAGGCTGAAGTATGTGTTAAATTCTTAATTTCATAAATTTATGCATGCAAACCTGACTGTACTTTTCACATTGCCTGCACAGATACAGACAGCAGTTTCTTTCTTATCCATTTCAGTCCAATTTTCATCTTGTTTGCTGGAAATTATCAAAGAAATAATGCCTCTATTTTATCTATAACTGACTTTGTTTCATTTAAGGTACTTTAAGGTGTTTGCATATCTGTAATTTGTTTTATGTGGTGTAGGGTGCTTTAGTTTACATGAAAAAGGATTCCTAAGTCCTTGGTTCAAAACAATGTCTTTTCTTACCGTATCTTCAGGAAACAACTTTCCTCTTTGGTGTTTAATCTTTTGCATTAGATCTCCATCATCACAATATTCCATCACTATATACAGATGTCCATCAGCTAAATTTTAAGTAATTTAAGAATAAACAGTCATTTTATTAGCAAGGTAAGTATATTATTGTTACTATAAAGCTCTGACTACATGCTATGTATTATGTATTATAATAAACATGCATTTTGTTTATAACACTACTATAAACAGACACAAAAAGTAATCTTGATCCCTCAGGAGCATGCGATTTTAAATAAAAAAAAGAAAATCTAAGTTTTTGTATTTACCTTCAAATGATTCTTTATAGGCAACGATATTCGGATGTTTCATTTTAGCCAAAAGAACCGCTTCCTTCCTAGAGTTCTCTACATCAGATGAAGACTGAAAATGTTAAGTACACTTATATAAATGTCACACTCACGGATTTTCATATATACACGTGATGCACCTCACTTTCCAAAATGAAAGTATTTTTAAGAATTGTTCTTCAGTTATTTTAAAAAGTCATTTAGAAACTTGAAAACTCACATCATTTTTTAATCTATGGTTTATTACTAGTTGAAAATGTCATGGGATTTTTTGGGGTGTTTGGTTTGTTTTGTTTTTTTTAATTTGAGAGGATATTTTCCTACTTCAATTAATAATTTTTTTTCTATTTTAACAATGCAGAACCTATGTAACAAAGCAGCATGCACTGACTTTGGAACAGCTGACAGTCTATATTGCATGAACTTGTATAAAAGCAAGTGCCCAGGTATTAACAGAGCTTCAGCCTCGATAAGGCTGGTGCCTTGCATTTTGTCATTTTTTTGTTAGCTAAGTGCAGAGAAGGTAACCTGCATAACATTACCACCAATAATATGATGCCAGTTTCCTCATTAGGTATTGCAGATGAAATCTGTGTTCTAGGGAAAACAACGGGAATCCAGCCTGGGGCATCAGGAGAACAGGGCTTTAATTCTAGTGTCTTCCCTATGTGCCATACTTTCCAAAACGTAACCAGACACCTTCTGAAACAGATCAGATTTTGCTACTTTACTTATTATCAACATGAACTCAGTCATAATTATGTAGATACCATGCAACTATCTTAATAACAAAGCTCTCAGCAAACGTGTTCAGCGTTTCAAAAATATATCCAGAACTATGATTTTTTTATGACATTTTTAAAGTGGTGGATGAGAAGATGTACATGTCACGCTTACCATTGGAAGTCTTATCTCCTTCATTGCATACTTCTGGTCACTGATTTTATGATGAACTAGGAGAGCTCTGCCAAAGGATCCCTCTCCAAGTACTCTCAACACTTTGTATTCTTCCATTCTTTATAAGCCTAGGTTAAACACTTATCTTCAAACACTGAATTTCACAGAATGATCTTCTAAACTTTGTCATGACCTTGATTCATTTTTTGAAATTTGTTGTTAATATAATCTGCATGAGAAAAAAACCACACAATAACGAGAACAACTGATGCGGGTACCTAGAACTCTTCAGCATTACCATAAACAATCCCAACCGCTGTTACTGTGATTTTGCTGAAAATGAGGCCTTCAAAAAGTTTAACTCAAAATACCATAGTGTATCTCTGCATTTTTTAATTGTGAATATTAAAGCTCTTTGAAAATGTATCTTCATTACCAGCATTTCTGCAGGTGGTTTCATAATGCTCATAACATAACTGTGAAAACAAAATTCACAGGCACAATAATATAAAAAATAAGCTTCAAGCTTCCAGTGACAATTCTCACCTAAACCAGCGTAAGCACAGGATCAGAATGGAGAAAGTTACTGGTGTTCATGTATAAAGACCTCATCAATGGAGAGGAGAGGAGAGGAGAGGAGAGGAGAGGAGAGGAGAGGAGAGGAGGAGGAGGAGGAGGAGGAGGAGGAGGAGGATGA